CTGCTGACCAATATGAAAGACCCTTCACTCTGGAATCCCACCTCTAAATCCTTCCTAGCCCTTGAAAATCTCAACCATAGCTGTTTCCTTTCTGGTTCCTTCCTGATCTGTAGAATCCAAGTTCAGGGTTCCAGAGCCTTCTGGGGGGGGGGAGGCTTTTTCATTTCTGTACACATCTGGTTCCCCACTGGACTAGGGGCTCCCCCAGGCAGGCCTGTGCACCCAGCACCTCTGCTTTACCCACCCCACCTGGCTCAGCACAGGAGCTCAGCAAGTGCTCATGAATGAAGGATTCTAAGAGCGAATTCCAACAGGTGTGTCACACAGCCCCTTGCCTCCTGTTGGGCCTGGGGAAGTCCTCAGGACAGTCAGCAAGTAGTTAAAACCGAGTCCTCTGATCCTCTGAGATCTGGCCTCCTGTTTTGTGAGGGTCTTGTGACCTGCATTTTAATTAGGACTCTAATGAAAACACAGACCTGAGAGTGAATGTCACTGGCCATCAGCCCTAAGGGTGGGACTTGGCCTGGACAGCAAGAAACTGCAGGCCCCAGGACCCAGACCCAACTTTTAGCTTAGGCCCATCGGAGCACCTAGTTAGGCTCACATCCCGCAGAAGGTCATGATAATGTTAAAAGAGAGGGTTTCTGTACTTTTATAGGCATATTCGACTGAACCCAGGTCAGCCCTCACTGCCTACCAAGTGGCAGAAGCCCCAGGAGAATACTCTGGTGAGCTGGAAGAGTTTGCACGAGGATCGCTCAACCATCGTTGAGTGTGCAATGGCAGTCAGTGCCAAGTGGAAATTCCCTTTAAATCTCAGCAACTGCTGGTATGATTTGCTAAAGCCCTTCTGAATAACAATTTCACAATCTTAAAAGTGACCACACCCTTCCCATGAAACAAAGAGCCCATGCATGTAGGGAAATAACCCTCAACGAAGGCAATTCTTTATAAACAAACTTGCTGATCACATCACTGTTTTGGGGAGAAGACAAACTGTAATAAATGTTCACCAGTAGGAAGATTGTTAAATAATACATTTACTGGGCTGGGGTTGTGTCTCAGGGGTAGAGCCCAGCATGTGTGAGGCACTGGGTTCGAGCCTCAGCACCACATAAAAATAAATAAATAAAATAAAGGTATTGTGTCTATCTACAACTAAAAAAAAAAAAGTGAGATTTTTTTCCCCACATATACACAAAATAATACATTTGCTAATAGTACCGCTAACAGTACAGTTAATTCATGTTTTCAATATGCCAGACATTATGCCAAGATGTTCACATTTGATACATCATCCCCATGCATCCCAGCCAGGAAGCGGCTACGGTGAGTGTGCTTGCTTTGCAGATGAGGAAACTGAGGCTTGGCGATGTTAGGTGAGTCGTCCAGTTTCTAGGCATTGGTGGAGGCAGTATTAGAAGCA